TAATCAGTTTATCTGCATAAGATACTTCTAATTTCGTCCCGCTGACCAAGAAAAATCAAGATAACTCTAATACAAAATACCTTTGCTTTGTAAAGCAAATTCCTCCCTTATACATTCATATCATATAAAATGATGTTTTGCTTTCGCCTATTTGCTTAAAGAAGTTAATATAAAATCCCTGTTTTTTCTTATCATATAAAATTCTGCTGTGACCTCGCCCTGCTAAACTTAGCTATAGCTATACAGCTAAAAGTCTCCTTATAACTAATCTCTGCAGGATTGGTAGAAAACAAGAGAGCATTTTGCCTAATTCTACACTTTAGGACTCTTATCTCTGACCCCCGAAGAAATATAATATTTTCGTTTTGCCATAATACATTACGACAGTGCCATCCCTCGAGCCATGTTAAAATGGAAGGGTTGAGTTAAAACATTTGCTTATACTCGTATTCCAGAGAATTGGTTTGGAATTTCGCGCAAAGATACATGAGGGCTATCTGCGCTACCGTGTCTAATTTAGCAGTAAAAGAAGGCAGCTAGTCATCACCACCCACCGCCAACTCTTGGGCTACTCTTTTACCAACGTCACTTTATAACACCCCCACAGCTGAAAGGGCGGGCATGTTTGTTGAGACGGGGATTCGAACCCGCGACCCGTAAATTGCGAGTCGAGCGCCCTAACCACCTGACCATGTCAGGCCACATTCCAGAGAAGCAGGTTAGAGATACAGGTTAAGTAAAGTCAAGGTGAATTTGTCACCTTTACCAAATAGGACAAGACGCGGCAATGACGTTACATTGGGTCTTGTATAATACAGAATAATACGTTTTCAATGTGTATACAAATACCATAGATAATTCTGCCCCTCGACAAAATTGATACTCATGATTTGTAAGAAGTATCGTGATATAGAGACTGTTTAACATATCTATGCTTATCTTAAAACTTTTAGTGTATGTACCTTTAAATATGTAAGAAACAATACAGTTCATTTGAAAACAATATATATCTCACGCATATCGAATTACCACAGGTCACTCTTACTGGCAAATAAACGTTTAATTTAATTTCAAAATAGGCGTAATTTGTTTTTGACGTATTTTGTTATACGTGTTTCTGTTTTGTAATTTGCGTGCAATTTTTTTCTGTAGGGTTACACTAGTTATCTCAGATAGACGCTGTTAATCAACTAATATTGGAAGATAAACTTTGTGGCCGGTGAAAAAATGATAACATTAATTACTTGTTTTCGGTTCAGGATACGTAATGTTTTTATACAAAAATTTTATTCATGAAGTATGTAAAACGTAAATCCTGTACATCATTAACGATGTAAAAATAAGTGTAAAGAGTATTAAAGGTCTTGAGAAGAAGTAAAGTAACTAGTGCTAAAGATGTCAGGATAACTGAGGTAGCGTATAAACATTAGTGTTTGTGATGTTAAACAGCTAACTAAAGGTAAACACCATTAATGTTAAAAATGTGAAAAATAAATAAATTAACAGGGAAATTCCAGTGTTAGAAACTTGAAAAGAAGCGAAGTAATAGTTAAATACTTCTATTAGTGTTAATGACGTCAAAAGAGTTTATTCACGGTAAAAAACATTCGGGTTAAAGCGTATCAAACTGTGAAACCGAGGTTCCATGGTTTGCATCCATTGCTGCAAAATATGCCCTTCGCATTGTAAGAGTGACGGTTAAATCTCATTATCCGATTATAGCAGCCCGAGAGTTGGCGGTGGGCTCTGTTTACTCTCTTCCCTCTAGTCTATTAATTAACAATTAGGGATGGCTATTTATTTCAAAGAGCTTTTGTACAGCTCTGCGCGAATATCGAAAGAAATAAACAACTAGAATTAAAGATGTAAAAAGAAGTGAATTAACGGATAAAGACCAGTTTTAACAGTGTCAAAAAAGTAAGGGAAAAACTATTAGTCTGAAAATGCGAAAAGAAGTAGAGTAAGGAGTAAATAAACATCGTGTAACATTAACAATACCAATTGAAGTTAACTGGTAAACACCAGTGTGAATGATATAAAAAGAAATAAAGTAACGGGAGTTCATTAGTGTTTATGGTGTAAGGAGTAAGCAACAGGTAAAAATTACTGGCAATTTTGTGGAACAGGTAAACGCTATGTTTTGTTAAAGATTTGAAAAGAAGAGAGAGAGGTAATAGTTAAATATGTCAACAAATTAAGTTGTGCAATGTTCTCATAGGTCTCTCTCGCTTTTTTTTTTTGCTATTTGTGTTTTCAAGTACAACTGTGAACTTGTGTTATAAAACGAAATATATAAGACAATGTAATACCGTTAATATTAACAGGACAAATAAACCCTACATTTATTTATATCAAGTGTTTAAAATTACTCTACAGTTTTATTATTATTAATGAATAAAAATCATTTTTAACTAAACCAGCTGTAAACCACTATCGTTAATTAAGTGTATTTTGTTTAACTATAAATTATAATAGGTCTTGACATTTTTACATGATTTACAGTAATTCCTGTACACTGAATCCGAAAATGATATCCATTTCTCTCCATCACATACAGATTTTTTTACAAAACGTCATAACGCAATAAATAAAAAAATGACCATAACGCGTAGTTTTGAGACCAAAAGACGTAGATTTCACACACAAAAAATCAGGATGAATG